ATTCGAGTTTACTTCTTATTACTTCCACTAATTTATAATTTCCATAGATGAAGAAATGTAAGAAAATAGATAAAATGTCGAATTTACGTGTAAAAATAAGGTACGCGGTGCCCGACGGCAATGCTGCCCCCTAACGGGCCTCAAATTTGCCTTCGGGCCGCTACCGCGCCCCTTGATTTCCATTCGTTTCGATTTTGAGTGTCGACCACGATTATTTCGCTTCACGCAACGATCTTTTAGCGACTGATCGTCGATCAACTCCGACGGTAGACGGAAATCAGCGAAGGCCAAACAATATCGAAATAGTTACATTGTTGTAGTCCAGCAGCTACATACGTCCACGTGTTTGCGAATATTTGCGAAGTATCCAAGTAAATTAAAAATTAGTGGAGATAAGTAAATCGAAATTATGTGAACTATACTAATATGTACTCTTTAAAAAATATCGACGTTTGTGTGAACTTTATGTATACAACTTTAATACATATGAACAATTACGATGAATGTATTTCTCAGTGGGCTTTGTTTTGATTTGCAGTATGTTATGTTTATTAGATACTGTAGACGAAAAAATCATAGAAGGAATAATATATATTGTGGTTCGTCTATATTTCTTGATGAAAAGTGCACGCGTACAAATGCATCGTTGGTGAACGTTTGTGACATTTCGAAAAGGCGTATACCCTCTTAACTCTAAAATCTCCTAGAGCGAATTTCGACATGCTCTTATGGATTTACCGAGTAATCAGGTTGTACGTAAGGCTACATTTTTTATTTTCTGCCTCGAAGCACACAGGGTGAGTACATTATTTTCTTCTAACTACGGGCCTACTTCGACGTATCGATGAGTATCAATCGACGGCGATCAACTATCACTCATACAACGATGCAAGTCGAATTGTCTGATTCAGGCACGAAAACGCCTAATTTTTATTTATTAATAACTAATTAATGGAGCTCTAACCGTCATTTTGTCACTCTTGATTTTCGTCTTGTTTTGGCTCGTAGAATACGATCTTCAAATATTGCTCACTAGTAAGTTTACACCCTGTATATGAAAGTCAAACGCTAATTATGCAATGCGATAAGAACACGTTGCATGCATATATGTACATATGTCATCCATCCATTGGCTAATACAGGAAGTAGCATGTGTGTCTTACAGTGTGAACGTGAAAATATGATTTTCTCGTGAAAAACACAGAAAGTAATTTTTTTTACGAACAAAATAAATATATTTACAAAGAACAAAGTTACAAAATAAAGAAAATGTCAAAAATTGGTTCTTAACAAGAAAAAACATATTACAATTTCCTTTTTAATTCTGTTCACCCAATTTTCAAATAAATTGCAGTTAAAACAGTGTAATAATCTCAAGTATTATACCCATTTTTAATTGATTCTATATAACAATACTGTTTGGTTTTGTCAATAAACAAAGTTTCCTATTCATTGTCAATATTAATGTAATATATGTACAGGGTGAGTCACCTAACGTTTGCACCTCAAATATCTTTGTTATCTTTAAAGATACGTCAAATATTTTAAGAATAAAGTTGAAGGGTTCAGTGGGGCTCACACGATACGAAAAATATTTTTGTGTTTATGTCATGTTTTTTAGAGATATGAAGGTCTTCATTTATTTAAATGGAACCACCATTTTTTAAACACCTAAGATGGTAGTCCCTCTCATTCGGAATTCAGTGACTATAATTATTCAAGGTCATTCAAGGTCATTTCAGAGTTCAACATTCCTTCAGAGCCCGTTTATCACTTCGAACATTTGTGAAATACATTTCATACGTTAAATTTTATTCGTTTTCTCCGACCGTGACCTTGAATGATCTTGAATTCTAGTATAATCAAAGTACGTTTTTTTTAATCTAGTCTGTTAATTCAGTTGATAAATAAAGTGACTTTGGAAAAGCAGAAAATTTAAAGCACGGGGCATTGAAATTAAGGCCTATATTGTAGGGTGCTATACTATACTATACAGGGTGTATACTACTGTACCAATTTTTAATTCTAATACGACAGAGTACGTTTTCTTAATTCAGGCTATTATTTCACAAAAAACAAGACAAAATTATATTGGAAGAGCAATACATTTGAAGGGCAGGGTATTGAAATAAAGGACTATCCTCTTAAGTAAAGGACTATCCTCTTAAATAAAGGATCATCCTCTTAAATGAAGGATGTATTACTGTAGTTCTACGTCCCATCGTTTGTTAACAGAAATGGAATTAGGACGGAATTTTCGAACTTAATCTCCTCCAACAATGTTATTCTTTTTTCTGGTATGGAATTATCCTGTCTTGTAAATATTATTCGATCGAAATCTGTCTAACCTTAACTTTCAATTTGATGATAGAGAATTGACTTTAATCACTTAGAACAAAGCAATACTTAACCGTGATTGATTACCTTATGTTAGAACTATTCTGAGTTTGGAAATGAACTAATCAGCCATTTAACACATGGTTATTATCTAGAATACAATTTTTATACAGTTATACTAAAGCAGTAAACTGCACAATGGAATTAAGTTAAATTACGTTGGATATTAAGGGATC